AGGACATTTCCTTCTTAGTCTGCTACAAGTTTTTGTAATAAATGGGTGTTGCATTTCATCAAATGGTTTAATGCATTTATTGAATGGATTGTGTGATTTTTTCCCCGTTTTCTGTGAATGCCACTAATTACATTAACTGATTTTTCAAATGTTAATCACCATTGTATCCCTGGGAAAAAACTTCCTTTGGTGTGGTATATTCTTTTTATGTATTTCTGGATTAATTCACTAATACTGAGATATGATTTTTACATCTGTGATCATGAGGTACAATTTCCCTTTCTTATATAGTCCTTGTTAGGTTTTGTTATAAAAATTATGCTACTTTTATAAGATGAGTAGGAAAAGTTTCCTTTTTTCCCTGTTTTAGGAAGAGTTTGTTTATGATTGCTAGAGCTTCTTCCTTAAATGTTTGATAAAGTTTTTCTAGTGAAACCATCTTAGCTTGGAGTTTTCTTTTTGGGACAGTTTCTAATAATGAATAAATTTCTTTATAGATAGAAGACTAGGTTTTCTATTTCTTCTGTTATAACTTTTGGTAAATTGTGATTTTTTCCCCCCAAGGTATTTGTTCGTTTCATCCTAACATGTCAAATTTGTTATTTATGGTATTCCTCATTATTTTTCTAGTTCTCTCTTCATTCCTGATATTGGTAATTTATAGGGATTTTTCTCTTTTATTTTACTTACTATTTCCTTTTTTCTACTTTTTCTAAGTTTGATTGGCCACTCTTTTCCTAGCTTCTTGAGATGGGGTGTAGAACACTGATTTTTTTTTTTCAAGTTTTCTCATTTTCTGATACAGGCATATCAGGTGAGAAATTTCCTCTGAGTACGGTTTTTGCTGACATTTTATTGTCTTTACTAAATTTCTATATATACACATTATATTTATATTATAAATATATATAATTATATGTACAATTTAAATTTCAGTTATGATTTCCTTTGTTGACTGTGGGTTATTTTAGAAATTTGTTGTCTAATTTCTAAATTTCCAAACAGTTGGGTATTTTCTGGAATTCTTTTTGTAATTCATATTTACCTTAATTCCGTTTTAGTCATAGAACATTCTCTGAATGATATTAGTACTTTGAAGTTTGTTGTAGATTGCTTTAGGACCCAGAACATGGCCAGTTTTGGTAAAGATTCCATGTGTATGTTAAATAGGTTCCAGTCATTGTTGGGTGCCATGATTATAAATAGGTCATTTAGGTCAAATTTGTAATTGTCTTTAGATTTTCTATATTTTTATAGAATTTTTGTCTCTCTCTCATATATTGAGAGAAGTGTATCAATCTCTCTCTCTGATTGTGGATTGTGTATTTCTCCTTCTCTTTCTATTTTTGATTACAATAATTTGAAGCTATGTTAACTAGTGCATATATGTTTAGATTTGCTTTTTAGTCTTAATGAATTGATTCTTTTATTTTGTCTGGATGAAATGACCTTCTTTATCTCTGGGAACACTGCTTGTCATAAAGTCTGCTCTTTCTTTTGCTTAGTTCTTCCATTGTTTATTGTTTGCCTTTTTATTTTTCACCTATCTGTGTCATTATATTGAAAATGTGTCTTTGTGAACAGCATAGCGTTTTTTTCTGTTTTTGTTTTTACCTAGTTCAACAATCTTAGTCTTTTACTTAAAGTTTTTAGTCCATTTATATATAATGCACTTAGTGATGTGCTTGGGTTAATATCTCCTATCTTATTATTTGATTTCAATTTGTCCAAACTGTTTTGCATTCTTTTGTCTCTCTTATCTTGCCGTCTTTTGTATTTTATTTCTCTTTATTACCTTGTTAGTTGTGATTCTTTTATTGTTTACCCTAGAAATTATGATATATACCTTTGACTTATAATTTCTAATAAAAATAATTACTTTAGCCACTCTGCCATTAGTAGTCCTCTGACTCCCCATCTTTTCCATTTTATTATTACACCTGTTAATTTCTGTGTATTTTGTATGTATTTTAAGACATTAGTTTTTGTTGGTACAGAGAGTATTCATATATATTTTCTCACATATTCATTCACCCCTTTTGTTGCTCTAAATTCCTTTTGAATTCTCATCTTCAGTCATTTGTCCAAAGAACTCTTGAGCTTTCCTTTTAGTGCAGGTTTGTGGTGACTAATGTTCTCAGTATTTGTTTGTCTGAAAATATCTTTACTTTGCCTTCATTTATAAAAAATATTTTTGTAGGCTACAGAATTATCGGTGGGCAGTTATTTTCTTGCAGCTCTTTAAATAAGTCATTCCGTTGTTTTCTGGTATTCCAAAGTCAGCTCTGAGTGGTGTTGTTGCTCCATTGAAGGGTAAGGTATCCTTTTTCCCACTGGCTGCCTTTTGATATTTTTCTTTGGCTTTCAACAAAAAGTAAATAAGATGTGCCTAAGTGTGGTTTTCTTGTATTTATCTTTCTTGGGATTTGCAGAACTTTTTGAATCCGTGAATTGTTGTCTTCTATCTATTTTGGAAAATCCTCAGCCATCAACTTTTTATATAATCCCTCTGCCCATTCTCTGTCTCCTCTCCTTTTGAGATTTCAGTTATGTATATCATAGACTTTTTCATGTGTTTACATGTCTCTCATACTCTTTTCTGTATTTTTCAGTATCTTTGGTCTATGTGCTTCTGTTCGGATATTTACTATTGCCTTGTTTTCTGCTTTGCCAGTACTGTCTTCTGATATATCTAATGAGTTCTTGATTTCAGTGATTATATATTTCAATTATAGAATTTCCATTTGATTCCTTTCATAATAGATTCCAGTTTTCTGTTGAAATTCTTATCTTTTATTTTCTTGAACATATTCATCATAGTTATATACTGTCTTGTCTGTTAAGTCCAATAACTGGATTACCAAAACATGGTAATTTTTTTTCTTGGTTTTTCAGTCATATGGTCCTGTCTCTTAGAATGCCCAGTAATTTTTTAATGTGTACTTAGACATTAGAGAATATTGGTGAGATTCCAGATGATGTTATATTATTCCAGAGTAGATTCACCCTTTCTTCTGCTTAGCAGATAAATGGGGACAGGTCACCTTAACTCAGCCAGAGATTAAGCTGAGTTGAGGCTGGGTTGCAGTTTTGGTGGGTCTCTGCCTCCCTCTGATTTGCCCCTGCTAATGTCTACACTAGAGTGTAGACATTCAGGGGCTTCCAGTTGAGAGTCTGGTATGTTCAATTCCCCAGGCAGGACTTGGACTCTAATTTGTGTTTCCTCAGCCTGATAAAATTCCCAGAATCTGCACTCTGCTTTTCAGAGGCTTTCTGCTTAGCTTCATAGCCTCCTTCTCTGTGCAGCTTCGGAGTGTTCAGATATCTCGAAGGGAAAACTAGCTCTGTGTCAGGCTCAATTGTTGGCACTTCCCCTTCTCACCTAGATCTTCGAATTTTGTCTGTAGCATCACAAGCCCACTAAAGCTCTGATGATTTCTCAGTTCTCTAGCACCAGCCTAGGCAAAGCTTGATTCTCAGCCTCTTGCTTTATGCCCAGATTCAGCAAATACCTCCTTGGAAAAGTGGTTGTGCTTATCAGTCCACCTCTCTGTGCTTCCCTGTGTCTGGATTCTTAGCCCCTCTAGTTCTTTTCCTTTTATAGTTCTCTAGTAGCTTTAAATAGATATGTTTAAACTTTTTTGCTTTATTTTCAAGTTCTTGATAGAAACATTGGTTTAACACAAACTACTCTTCCGTATTTGGAAGTGATAGTTACATATAGTTTATCATCACATATAGTTTATTGTTTTATATATTTGTCGTATATCGATAATGACATCCGTTATACCGTTAACTTCTTTGACATCAGTTTCTTTAAGTGACTCTTCATTTTCTAACTGCCTTGTGTATAGGAGGCCTCTGGAAAATATTATATATCAATGTTGAAATAAATTGATTCTTCCTCAATAGAAAGGCCTGGTGGTGAGAATATCTGTTATCAGTTCAAAATCAGCAGTGACTCTGAAACTATTATATAAACAAGTAGAAAAAGTATTTGGTAGTCAAAAGCCCAGATGCACAGTTCTTGGGATATTTGATGTATTCCTGTGGTTATAATGATGATTTTAGTATGGTTTTATGTTTGAAGCCACTATTTTTTCTTTTTGTTTCCTTAATATCATCTTACAGTGATAGCTCTGTTTACATCATGTGATTTTAAAGTTGAAAGAGCTCTGTTTTATAGTTTATTTTTAATGTAAAAAGAACAAGAAAATATGAGACAAAGACAGATCTCTTCTCTACCTCCCACCTTCAAAATAATATTTCTATGTATAACTACTTCTCTTCTCCCTACCCTTTTCATTTCACTTGTCCTCTCTCTCCTATTGGCACATTAATTGAAGAAAATGTAGAAACTGAAATAGATAAAAAGAAGACTGTGAAACTCTCTTGTAATCCTATCACCAAGCAGTAATCACTCCTTTGAGCATTTGGCATATATCGTTTTATGTTTTTTCCTATGTACAATGGATCATATTGTTATTAGTTGTTCTCAGCCCTGCCTCTTCATTAATATCACTTGTAACAATTAAAATATACATATATCGGGGCCGGCCCTGTGGCCGAGTGGTTAAGTTCACGTGCTCCGCTGCGGCAGCCCAGGGTTTCGCTGGTTTGGATCCCAAGCGCATACATGGCACCGCTCATCAGGCCATGCTGACGCAGCGTCCCACATGCCACAACTGGAGGCATTCACAACTAGAATATACAACTGTATATTGGGGGGATTGGGGGAGATAAAGCAGAAAAACAGTAAATAAATAAAATAAAATATACATATAGATTCTGGGATATACCTCAGAATTAACCAAATCAGAATCTCCAGAGATAAGAGTTTTGTTAAAAAATAAAACACAAAAACTCCCCTTCAGAAATTTTCAATAACCGTCAGGAATTTCTTTTAAGTGGAAAAAAAAGAGTATTGCAATGTTAGATATAAAAAGCTTTAATTTGTATACAACTCTTTCTCTAATGATTCAATTTTAACTTTTTCCTAGCCATTCCACCCTATGGTGAATCTGGATTGTTCTCGGGATTTCCGGCCATTTCTTTGTGCACTCTATGCTCCTATTTGTATGGAATATGGACGTGTCACACTTCCTTGTCGTAGGCTGTGTCAGCGGGCTTACAGCGAGTGTTCGAAGCTCATGGAGATGTTTGGTGTTCCTTGGCCTGAAGATATGGAATGCAGTAGGTGCGAAAATCATAGATTTTCATGGATCATTACTTATGTTGCAGTATATTTAAAATTACTTGTCTTCTAGTTCATTCATTTTTTAAAACTTTTTTGAAGTATATATATTAGTCTTAATTTTGAACAGTAGTTTCAAGGCCTCAGAATTATTCATTTCTTTAGGAATTTGGAGGCCCTAAATGAAAAAGGTAGAAAAAAAACCCCATTTCTAAAAAGAATTAAGTTAAAAAAAACATAATCAAGACATTCACTTGATTTTTCTCTCTTAAAATTTTTTTTGTGGTTATAAAAGTAATGCCATTTATGGAAAATTAGAAAATACAGTGAAGAAAATAATCGTTCATTGCTTTATCATTATACATTTTTAATGATATTTTAATGGGAATTAAATATCTTTATGATTTAAATGTGTTAATGACTAAAGTAGTTGTGTCAGTTCTGTTTTCCTGTCGTGTGTTAACATACCAGACCCCACAAAATGTCAGATGCTTTTCAAATAGATAGGTTGTAAGCATTTCCTCAAAGTTTAAGGGTTTTTACTAGACAGTCTTAGAAATTTGTATGGGAGAATGTTATTATTACTAAAAATGTTTGCAGTATTAATACTGTATTTCTTATATACAAATGTACCTTTTTTGTATTAAGGATAAAGAATAATTATATGACTACATATGTACCTATTATTATCTAGCTCTGTCCAATCTTAATATTTTGTAATATTTGCCTCAGTTTTTTTTTTAGGAGGTAAAACCATACAGATAGAGTTCAAGGTTCTTTCCATGGTACCCATCTTGATTTCATTCCCTTCTTTCCTCCCCAGAGATGAGGTAATCATTATGTTGAATTTGTTGTTAATCATTCCTATGTTTGTTTTTATACTCTTACTACATATATACATATCCCATAGACAACATTAAATTTTTTTTACAAATATCTATGTTTGTATATGTAGGTCTGGTTCATTCCTTTTAATTGCTGTATAATGGCCAGTTGTATTAATATTGTGTAGTTATTTAGCCATCCCCTACTGATGGTCATTACGTTATTTCCATGTTTTTGCTATTATAAGCAGTGCTGCACTGAACATTGTTTTCTCCTTCATGTTTAAAATTAATTTTGTTTATCATCTGACAATAGCCCTTGGAGGGAAGTAAAAAGAAGGTGTTACTCTCATTTGATGGATGGAAAAACTTAAGAAATAAAACATACATTAGTTTCTTGTGGTCAGTTCACTGACATTTTACTTTCTAATATTTATCTACTCTATTTCCCACCTATTTAACCTATTCTGTTATCTAGCCCCATGTAATCATTCATCCACTCTCTCCCCAAACACCTGATAGTGTTTATAGTCTCTCTTTTAGAAATCTGTAAATTTCTTGGTGTTTATAATAACATTTATGAATTGCCTAGGTAGGAACCTTATTTTTTGTTTCTTGTATCTAACTCCCATTGTTTAGTGGTGTTTTTAATAGTTTATATACAAGTATAGAAGTATCATTATGATCTTTATTTCTTTGTTTCTTTTGATAGGATTAAATCTGTTTTGTGTCCTCATTCTTGCCTGTGATTGCCTAACTCTGAAATCTTAAATTCTGGCAAACTGATCTTTCATAACAAACTGTTATTCTTCAGCATCTCTCATATCTTTGTTCCTACTGTACCTGTTCTTCAATTTCATGGATACCCCAAACTTTGGGGTTTTTTTCCCCCCTCCTAATATCCACCTTCCTGATCTCTTTTATTTCCTTGCTTAGCTTAAGCTCTGAAGTCTCTCACTGAAATAACACTTTTGCTAGCAATCTCAACTCGTTCCTTTTACTGTACTTGTTCAGATCTCCAACTGGATTGATTTAGCCAATTTCTTACAAATTAATTATTTGTATATTTAATGATTCAAACCATAGCAATTCTATTTACTGTTTGTCTTTGGTCAGTTTCCAATATAGTCAACAGGAAAATTCCCCTCAGCACCTATGCCAGATCTCTATCGCTCACTTCAAACCCATATTTCACCTTTATACTATATTTGGTCCTTATTCTCCTCACCTTAGCCCGTCCTCCTTTTACTGAAAATCAGTTAGGCCATATTGTGGTCTGCTACATCTCAGACTAATCCTTCTCAGTTTCTTGTCTTGAATCGTCTTCCTTTTTCTCCCCCTTGAATACTGGTGATTCCCAGAGTTCTATTCCTGTTCTCTTTGATTCTACATGCTTTCCCTGGATAATCTCATCTTACTGATTTTAACTCTTATTCGTATACTTATGACTTCTAAATCTAATTCTGTAGCCTTGACATCTTCCTGCTAAGTTCCAGATCTGCATAGGCAGCAGCCATTGGAAACCCTAGCCTGAGTTTGTCTTGGATACCTCAGTTTCAGCATGTCTAAAGTTGGTTTTATTCCTTGCTCATTTCTTTATTGCCTGAAAGTTATCTTCTTCCTTCATTGACCTTAGCTCCCACATCCAGTCAGTTATAAATCCTTTTGCTTTCATCTAACTAATTTCATCTCTGTCTCATTCTCACTGCCTTATCTGGTTTTACTTCTGACTGAAGTGGCGTCTCTGCCCCTATTTTCGTCCAGCTCAAGTCTGTCTTGCACACTGCTCCTAGTCATCTTTCTAATTACTTGGGTTAGGGCTATATGAATGTATATATCCAACAATTATTAATTCAACAAATATTAATTGGATGTGTTCTATATGCTAGGCACTCTTCTATGTGCTGAAGATGAGCAATGAACAAAACATAGTCTCTGTTTTTATGGAGCTAAAATTCTAGTGGTAGTGGTAGTGGTGAGAGATAAATAGATAATGTCAGATAGTAATGAATGCTAATAAGAAAGAGTAGGGTTAGGTGATGGTAATACAGTATGGAGAAGCAGAAGGACTCTGTTTCTTATGGAGACATCAGGGAAGGATGTCTTTGATAAGGAGGCATTGGAACAGGGACCTGAGTGAAATGAGAGAACAAATAATACAGATAGCTAGGGAATAACAATCCAGGCAGAGGAAGCAGAGCAGCAAGTACAAAGGCTGTGAAATGGAAGCATGCTTGGTATATTCAAAGAACAGCAAGGAGACCAAAGAGGCCGGAGCAAGTGAGGGAGGGAGAACAGAAGGAAATAAAGTCAGAAAAGTACTGGGAATAGGGTCTTTGTAGCTCTGGAATGGGGTTTGGATTTGACTCCGAGTGAGAAGGGAAGGCGTTAAAGAATTTTGAGCAGAAGAGACATGATCATGAGCACAGGAGTAGCGTGTCTTTAAAGGACCACCCTGGCTGCTGTGTGAAAATGGAGATCACTTGGCAGTCTCTCCAAAAGTCCAGGCAAGAGGTATTGATGGCTCAAACTGGGCAGCAGCAGTGGAGGAAATGAGAAGCAGTCAGATTCTGGATATATCACAAAGTAGAATGACAGGATTTGCTGGTGGATTGTGAGGTGTATATTAGAGAGAAAGGGCGTCAAGGACGACTCCAAGGGTTTTGGCCTGAACAACTAGAAAAGTGGAATTATCACTCGTGGAGATGGAGAAACCTGAGGAGTGGAAATCAAAAGTTTGGTTTTTGGAAGGGTTAAAGAGTGAGGGATGTGTGTATTTTGAAGTGGCAGTTGGAAGTAAAAATGTATGTTACTTTGCATGGTTTTAAATTTTGTATCAATGGTTATATATACATACATGCATGCACACACAGACATACATACACATATTTCTGCAGCGTGCTTACCTCTCCAACCTCATCTCCTGTGACAAGTGATGCGAACTTCATGCCCCAACAATACTAAACTCATCCTGTTCAAACCTCTATGCCTTTGCTTGCATTTCCTGCTAGAATACTGATCGACCTACTGCCATTACTGGCAAATGCTGATTCAAAATCTTGTGCCTGTGAAGTCTTTCGTAACCTCTTCCTCTAAAATAATTAATCCTTCTCTATATCATTTTTATACTATATATGGATTTTGATTGCTTCATGTATCACACTGCTTTATTTTGTATTGTGTTTACAAGTTTGTAACTCCTTTTAGACTCAAGGATAGAGATCCTGATTTGTCTTTTTATTTTAAACCCCTGACATACTGCAGGATTCCAATAAATGCCTGAATACAATAAGTTTCTGTCATTTGGCTTTATAATTCTAAGCCCTGTGAAGAAAATGGTTTGTATTAGAAAATAAAAGATTAATCAGCTACAGCATAAAGTTATGCATGTATTTGGCAAACTTGATATGAATGACAGTTTCTTGGAGACTATGTGGTACGTATACACTAGTAAACATCTAGTTAGTGGGAGTCTGAAGGCTTAGAAACTGATACTGGCAAGAAAGTTAAAGACGCAGGAAATTCACGAGAATGGTATCCTTAGTTGTGTAAGAATGTCTGCAACACAACCCTGTTTTCTTTGTCCTGAGGCTGTGTATGACACTTTCTCGAGTCTGTGGATCCTGTCCTTTTGGAAAATTGTGAAAATGCGGCTTTCTTGTGCCTTAACACAGGCTTATTGAAATGTGATTGGTCGTGGTGGGACCCAAGAATTTGCGTTTTAAAACAACCTTAACTTTTTCTCATGCATAGCAAAGTTTGAGAAAAACTGAATTTAGAGAACGCAGTGGACTGGAGAGAAATTAAGGATGGTAGGAAAGAACCAGTCGACATTAGGGACCTTAGAATGCCCTTAATCAATATGAGAAGCAGAGAGTGAATGTAAAATGGGAAGAAAAGATCTAAAAACTAAGCCACTTGTAAGGATTTCTAGTGCTAATCTAACTCAAAACACCTTGGGCCATGCCATTAAGGAAGACTTTTAACTGTTATGTTTAAGTAAGTTCTATTTGAATCTAGGGTAAATTGAGGACTACTGTAGTTAAAGCTTAGAAAAAAAGTAACTTTTAGCTACTATTCTGTTGGAGTATATTAATTTATTATATAGAATATATATTTGCATTTTGAAATCTTACTCTAAACTGTGTCCTAAATAGTTTATTTGTACACTATTTATTGAAGGTTATGCTTAACTATTTTAATAAAGGTACTGTTTTAGAAGCCAAAACAAAATTAAGTATAAAACCATATCAGGGGGCCGGCCCCATGGCTGAGGGGTTGGGTTTGCGTGCTCTGCTTCGGTGGCCCAGAGTTTCACTGGTTCTGATCCTGGGCACGGATGTGGCACTGCTCATCAGGCTATGCTGAGGCAGCATCCCACGTGCCACAACTAGAAGGACCTACAACTAGAATATACAACTGTGTACTGGGGGCTTTGGGGAGAAGAAGGAAAAATAAAAAAAATAAAACATCAATTTTTTTGTCAATTATGGAAAATGTAGTAGTATGGCCCACACAGAAGATATTACCATTTACTTTATTCCTGTTTATTGTAATGTGCCCCAAGGACAAAAGAATAAAGTCACAGGTGCTAAATTTGGAAATCCAAATTGTTAGGTGGCAGATTTCCCAATAAGTAAAAATGGTTCTCATCTTGTATTTTATAGGTTCCCAGATTGTGATGAGCCGTATCCTCGACTTGTGGATCTGAATTTAGCTGGAGAGCCTACTGAAGGAGCCCCAGTGGCAGTGCAGAGGGACTATGGTTTTTGGTGTCCCCGAGAGTTGAAAATTGATCCTGATCTTGGTTATTCTTTTTTGCACGTGCGTGATTGTTCACCTCCTTGTCCAAATATGTACTTTAGGAGAGAAGAACTTTCATTTGCTCGATATTTCATAGGATTGATTTCAATCATTTGCCTCTCTGCCACGTTGTTTACTTTTTTAACTTTTTTGATTGATGTCACAAGATTCCGTTATCCTGAAAGACCTATTATATTTTATGCAGTCTGCTACATGATGGTATCACTAATTTTCTTTATTGGGTTTTTGCTTGAGGACCGAGTAGCCTGCAATGCATCTAGCCCTGCACAGTATAAGGCTTCCACAGTGACACAAGGATCTCATAATAAAGCCTGTACCATGCTTTTCATGGTACTCTATTTTTTTACTATGGCTGGCAGTGTTTGGTGGGTAATTCTTACTATTACATGGTTTTTGGCAGCTGTGCCAAAGTGGGGTAGTGAAGCTATTGAGAAGAAAGCATTGCTGTTTCACGCCAGTGCATGGGGCATCCCCGGAACTCTAACTATCATCCTTTTAGCGATGAATAAAATTGAAGGTGACAATATCAGTGGCGTGTGTTTTGTTGGCCTCTACGATGTTGATGCATTGAGATACTTCGTTCTTGCACCCCTCTGCCTGTATGTGGTAGTTGGGATTTCACTTCTCTTAGCCGGCATTATATCCCTAAACAGAGTTCGAATTGAGATTCCATTAGAAAAGGAGAATCAAGATAAATTGGTGAAGTTTATGATCCGGATTGGTGTTTTCAGCATTCTTTATCTCGTACCACTCTTGGTTGTAATTGGATGCTACTTTTATGAGCAAGCTTACCGTGGCATCTGGGAAACAACGTGGATACAAGAACGCTGCAGAGAATATCACATTCCATGTCCATATCAGGTAAGGGAACCCTTGTTCTAAATTTCAGAACGTGTAATACTGAAAAGAAGGCATATTATTGTAAAGAGCTAATCTTAGCTGGGGGTTTTTTAAAACTCTTTGTGAACCTTCAACTTGTACGTTAAAATTTTAAAGTGAAGATAATGAACAAATATATTGTAATAAGAATGTTGTACACATGTTTCTATAAACGTCTTCCTTTTAAAAGATGACTTTTACAAGTATAAGCTATGGGCTTTAAAGCAATTTACTTCTGTTATCACAAAACAGTTGCTTATTGATTCTTTAGAAGTCTGCCCGTTTCAGGGGAAGAAGTACTTGACCAACTCTGATAAAAAGGCACTGTCTTTCTGTGGAAATGTTACTGATGTTCAGAATAGGTATTAATTGTTTTAACAGTTTTATAAAGAGAATAGAATGCAGTTGTACAAACTAGTACATCTCTTAATTGGTCTTGGTTTTCTTTTTTGCATACTGAATGTTTTGTGATTTATGTTTGAGTTTAAAGAGATCAGATAATCGTAATCATAGTCGTAGAATCATAGAATTTTAGGTCTAGAAAGAACTTTAGAGATTCTTTATTCAGGTTCCCTCTGTAATTTAGACTTCTTAAATATCCATCTCGAATGTTAAGTGGCTTGCTCACACTCAGCTGGGATATCGTCCTAGGAGAGGGGTGGAACAAGGAGAGTATTTCAGAAGAGCTGATGCGAAGTATCTCTCTCTCTCATCTTAAAACCTTCCCTAGAACCTATGCCCCTAGCTGTTACCCTCTCTTCTTCCTTTTTTTTTTTTTTTTAAGATTTTATTTTTCCTTTTTCTCCCCAAAGCACCCGGTACATAGTTATGTATTTTTAGTTGTGGGTCCCTCCAGTTGTGGCATGTGGGACACTGCCTCAGCATGGCCTGATGAGCGGTGCCATGTCCACGCCCAGGATTCGAACTGGTGAAACCCTGGGCCGCTGAAGTGGAGCACACGAACTTAACCACTCGGCCACGGGTCTGGCCCCTCTTCTTCCTTTTAAGACAAGTTTTCATGAAGGAGTTGTCTCCACTTGGTGTCTCCTGTTCATCATGTTCTTGAAGTGCACCAGCCGCCCTTTCATCTCCCCCAACCCTTATGTTTTGCTACTATCTTTTAAATGCCTTTATTAAGATAGTTATGTGTTATAACTTGTTTACTTAGTCTCTTTCCCCTATTAGACAATGAACTCTTTGAAAGCAAGAACTTTTTTTCATATTTTTTGAGTGCACATTCTGTAGGTTAGTAGATAATAACATTGAGAATGTGGGTGTATGGATTGAGAAGAAGAAACACTGAGAAAAGGTAACAGTGGTGCTAGGGACAAGGAGTGTATGATTAGCACATAGTCAGTGCTCATAAATATTTGATGACTGAAAATACCAATTCTCCTACTTTTATTTTGTGTAAATAGTCCTATACAAAGTTACATTTTTATTATTGTATAAATATTAGCTACTGGCTTTTAGAAAATAAATCAACTCAGTAAAAATACCAGAAAAATGAATAATTGAAATTCTATTAAATTTCTTGACAGAATTACTTATTAAAAAGTTATAATATGAGTTTTCAGACTTGAAGCTAAGTGCTAATCAAATTGTGCCTCTAATAAGAGATAGAATGAATTATATCATATGCTCCCCCATATAAGTTATCTAAGATTCCAAATATATATTATCTTAGGGCTATTGAAGAAATAGTGTTTGACTATGAAATAATGACCTAAATAATATGAAACCCCAAACATATAAGTTACTAAATTAGAGTAGTTGGGATGCTGCTATTTTCACAACATTCCTAGAATTCCTTTAGCATCTTTAGAGCCAGTTAGAGCTATACAGAAATATATATGTGTGTGTGTATGCATTTCTTTATAGTCATAGATTAAAAGTGTTTTTTATTTCCAACGTACAGAAATAATGTTGGGTTTCCAACATACCAAAAAGAATAGAGAATGATATAATAACAATAACACAGCTACAAAACTCTAGACTCTGGAGCAGGAATCCTGGCTTCATATCTTACTTCATTATTTACTAGCTTTATAACCTTAAACCAACTTCACCTCTCTCTACTTCAGTTCTTCATCTGTAAAATGAGTAGTAGAATCCAATAGTACTAAAATAGTAGTAGTATTAGATATAAATAGCAATAGAATCTACCTCCTAGGCTTGCTTTTAGGAGTATACATGCAAAACACTTAGAACAGTGCCTACTGTGTAATAAGTGCTCAAATATTAGCTCTGTTATTCATCTTCTTCTTTATTGTTGCTGCTGCTGTTACTGTTATTTACACACACACACATACACACACACACACAAATACATATATGCATATAAATATATGTCTATTTTTTAAACCAGCCAACACCTAACTTTAGCAAATGCCATATTTGCTTCAGACTTTTAAAAGAAATCGTATTACAGATTTGGCTGAAGCTCCCTGCATGTCCTTCCCCAGTCCTGTTCCTCTTAATCCCTACCCAGGAGGTAACCATCATCCTGAATTTGGAGTGTATCATTCCCATTAAATTCTATACAATTACCAATATGTATGTAGCTATGAAAAAATTTCATTTTACATAGTATGTAAATGATACACTATATGTCTGTTCTGTACCTTGATTTTTTAACAACTTTTAGTTTTTGAGATATATTTATGTTAATACTGTAGCTCTAGTTCATTTTTTAAAATCTTTCCTTTAAAGGAAGTTTACATTATAAAATATTTTAAATATGTGAAGTATAGAAAATAGTGTAACAGACATCCATGTACTCACAACCCAACTATCTTGAAATCTTAATATTATGTCATGACTGGCCAGCTGGCTGGCTGGCTCTCTGTCATTAAGGACGCAGTTGATAACCCCACTCTGTTCTTTCTATATTCCTGTTCCCTTTCCTTCTCCTTCCCCAGAGGTAACCCTTCTCATAAATATGATAATATTGTATTTATCATTCTTCCAAATATTTTTATACTGTGGCTGAATATTTATGTATCTATAAAACTTGCTGTTTTGCAAGTTTTAAAAATCTATATATGACATCATTTTGTAGCTTGCTTTTTCACTCAATTTTATGTTTTTGACAATATGCATGTTGATATGTGTACCACTAATTTGTTAATTTTAACTGCTGTAGTCTAATGTATAAATATACTGTAATTTATTCACTCATTATCCTGTTGATGGACATATAGTTGTTTCCAATTTTTTTGCTACTGTAAACCATTTTGCAGTGAACATTCTTGTAATACCTGTCTTCCTTGAATGTGACCAGGAATTACCATAGGTATATATTAAAAAGTGAAATTGTTGTATTATAAGATATAGACATCCTCAACTCAAGTTGTTATTTTAATTTATACTCACAGTAGAGTATGAGTTTCCCATCTGTTCCCATCTTGGGGTTCTCAGGCTTTTAGATTTTTTTTTTAACTTTTTATTGAGATTATGATAGTTTACAACATTGTGAAATTTCAGTTGTACATTATTGTTTGTCAGTCGTGTTGTAGGTGTACCACTTCACCCTTCATGCCCATCCCCCACCCCTTCTTTCCCCTGGTAACCATTAATCTGTTCTCTTTGTCTACATGTTTAATTTCCACCTATGAGTGGAGTCACACAGAGTTTGTCTTTCCCTATCTGGCTTATTTCACTTAACATAGTACCTTCAGGGTCCATCCATGTTGTTGTGAATGGGACGATTTTATCCTTTTAATGGCTGAGTAGTATTCCATGGTGTATGTATATGTATATATATACCTTCTTTATCCAATCCATATCTTCTTTATCCAGTCATCAGTTGGTGGGCACTTAGGTTGCTTCCACGTCTTGGCTATTGTGAATAATGCTGCAGTGAACATAGGGGTGCATGGGACTTTTTGAATTTCTGATTTCAAGTTCTTTGGATAGATACCCAGTAGTGGGATGGCTGGGTCATATGGTATTTCTATTTTTAATTTTTTGAGAAATCTCCATACTGTTTTCCATAGTGGCTGCACCAGTTTGCATTCCCACCAGCAGTGTATGAGGGTTCCTTTTTCTCCACAACCTCTCCAACATTTGTTTTGGTTATTTTTGCCATTCTAATAGTTGTAAGGTGATATCTTAGTGTAGTTTTGATTTGCGTTTCCCTGATGATCAGTGATGATGAACATCTTTTCATGTGCCTATTGGCCATCCATATATCTTCTTTGGAGAAAGTCTGTTCATGTCCCCTGCCCATTTTTTGATCGGGTTGTTTGATTTTTTGTTGTTGAGTTGTGTGAGTTCTTTTTATAGTATGGAGATTAACTCTCTGTTAGATATATGATTTACAAATATTTTTTCCCAATTGGTGGGTTGTTTTTTTGTTTCAATCCTGTTTTCCCTTGTCAGGCTTTTAGATTTTTGCCAACCTTTGCAACAATATCTCTATAATTACTATAGTAATAGAATAATAAAATTACTTTTATTTCCCTTAGTATTCATAAGGTTGAACATGTTTTCATATGTTTCTTGGCCATTTGGGGTTTCTGTTTCTGTGATTTGACTATTTGTTACCTTCGTCTCTTGCTCTCTTAGGTTATTTGCCTGTTGTTATTGTTATTATTGTTGTTGAAGTATTCTTGGTATCAATTCTTTGGCAGTTGTTTGCATTGCAGGTATCTTATTCTGTTCTGTCACTTGTCTTCTCACTTTGTCTTTTCTTTGCCTTTTGTTTTGTGTTTTAAAAGCTCCTTCCCCGCCTCTAAAGTCAGAAAAATGGTCTGCCATATTTTTTCTAGCGGTTTTTAAATTTTGTTGTTTTGTTGTTTTGTTTTTTTGCTGAGGAAGATTAGCCCTGAGCTAACATCTGTGCCAGTCTTCCTCTTTTTTTGCTTGAGGAAGATTAGCCCTGAGGTAACATCTGTGCCAGTCTTCCTCCACTTTATATGTGGGTCACCACCACAGCATGGCTGACAAATGATGTAGGTCTGCACTTGGGATCTGAACCC